TTTAATAAAAGTAAGTCAAATGACTTATCAAATCCAGGAAAAAGATTCTATTGTATCCATGTCAATGTCCAATGAGTGGCAGGAAGTCGAAAATCAAATTGAAAAGGGAATAATAGGGGACTATAAAAGCATTTGGGAAACCATTGTCTCAATCTTAGTAGTAATTTTAGCACTAGACTTTGGAATAAGGTTCGCGATGATCGTTGCTGAAATGTATGCTGGAAATGGGCGCCTAGGTAGACTTCTATTTGGCCCTGAAATACCAAAAGCTCCGATTCCACAGAGAAGATTAGACATTCAACGTGTACCAGAACCCATTGTTGAACTAGATAACATTTATGAAGAACCGGTAAATAGACCACTTTCGATCTCCTGGCCTCCGTCAATAAGGAATACAGTAAATGCTAACACTTTACCAAGAAACACCATAAGCACAAGACCTAGGTCAACTTTAGGAATTAATAGAACTAGTGGATTTATAGGAACGCTGGGAGCGAGTGCTAACACAGTAATAGTTGATGTCTCTTTAAATTCTGTACCTGTGAAATGTTTAATAGACACTGGAGCAATTACCTCAGTAGCTAACATTGCTTTAGCTGAATGGTTGGGAACAAAAATTTTTCGAACTGAAACATACCTCCAAAGTGCCTCAGAACATTCCATGTGTGCAAAGCAAGCCACTAGTGTGCAATTAAAAATTGCTGGAGTGGTAGTAGAAATAGTGGTCCATCTCTTTAATGATAAGTAGGGACAGCCAAAATATGCACGGAAAATTGCCAAATATGCGCATATATATGCACCGAAAAAGCCCAAAATATGCATCAAAATATGCAAAATTTGCCAAAATATGCAGTGAAATATGCACCAAAAAATAGTTAAAATATGCTTTAAAAATCAATATTTTAATTTAAAAACACTAATTTAGCCTTTAATTTTACATTTTATGAACACTTCTAAAGGATTTAATATATTTAAAATTTCTGCAAAAATTTTGGGGAAAAAAATTTTCCCCAAAAAATTTTCGAAAATATTTTTTCAAAAAATTTTTATAAAAAAATTTTTTTGACCAAAAAATTTCAAAATTTTTGTCAATTTTTGGCAAAATTTTACAAAAAATGCCTAAATATGGACCAAAATATGCAAATTTTGCCAAAATATGCACAAATATGCAAATATGCACGAAATGGTCGAAATATGCAAATATATGCATTAAGAACCGGGTCCTAAAGTGCCCGTACTTATGTAAAAACACCATTTTTGGGCTTCCCACTTCAAGGCATATCCGCATACAAAACATGCATTTGCATGTTTTGGCTGTCCCTAATGATAAGTTCCACTGGGATAACCATGATTATCATTTTATTATGGGGTGCGATGCACTAGCGCAGTTGCCTCCTTTTATTGTGGATTTGAAAAATAAAATGTTCTGTATAGAAGGAAATCAAATATGCATTGAAAATAGAATTAATAGGCCTCAAAGGAATCTGAAAATACACGCATTAGAGACTTGTGAAATAAGACCCAATGAGCAAAGTGTAATAAAAGCCAAAATAAATTTCCCTGAATTGCTTAGGCATAATATCTGGATTCACTCAATGGATGATAGACTTGAAGAAGAGGGTTTAAGTTTTGTTCCAGTGGTAACCAATCCCAAGGATGGAGTTGTACAAATAATTTTAGCCAATCCAACAGGCACAACTAAAAGATTATTTAAAGGAAGAACCTTAGGGCTAGCAAGTGAAGTACTAAAAACTGAATCTGAAAATATTTTAGCAGAAACTAACGTTAGTGAGGAAACACAAGAAATATTTTCTCTAGGGAAGTCAGGGGTGACTATTGATCCAACTTACAAGATTGACTTTGAAAAAGCCACTGTAAAGAGTGAAGACCTTGATAAATTAAAAGAACTTTGTAATGAGTTTGAAGATATATTTAGTAAAAGCCAGTATGACATAGGGAGTTGCACAGCAGGCGAGCATGATATAATCACAACTTCTGAGGAACCAGTTGCCTCTAGGCCTCATCGAGTACCGTTTAAGTATCGAGATGAATTGCAAAAGCATATCGACCAGTTATTAGCCTCAGGGGTGATGGTTGAGTCTGATACCCCTTGGGTATCGAACATAGTATTAGTTCAGAAAAAGGATGGTGGGCTTAGGCCATGCATTGATTTTAGAAAATTAAATGAAGTGACAGTACCTGATCACTTTCCTCTCCCAAGACTTGAAACAATTTTAGAAAAAGTTGGTAATTGTAGATATTACTCATCTCTTGATCTTGCTAGCGGGTATTTGCAAATTAAGCTTAGTGAAAGGGCCTCAAGAAAATGTGGCGTAATTACCGAAGATAAAATTTATCAAATGATAAATTTACCATTTGGACTTAAAAATGCTACTAGTGCGTTCGCGCGAATAATGGCTCATGTACTCACTGGACTTGAAAATGTGATTGCTTATGTTGATGATATATTAATTTTTACTAAGTCTGAAAATTTTGAAGAACATATTAATGCCCTCAGGAGCGTTTTTGAAAGATTCAGGCGTTTTAATTTAAAATTAAGTCCCAAAAAATGTACCTTTGCTTCGGCAAGCATGGAGTTTCTTGGTTTCATTGTAAATGAATCTGGCTATACACCTAGCTTAAGAAAAACTGAAACAATTTTAAATTTAAAGGAACCAACCTCGGTGAAGGAAGTTAGACACATAGTAGGGATGGCGAATTTCTTTAGGAAGCATGTACAAAATTTTTCTATGATTGTTGAGCCATTAACCAGGTTAACAAGAAAAGAAAAGCCATTTATTTGGGGCGAAGAGCAGCAGGAAGCTTTTAATAAAGTAAAGAAAATTTTGTCGGAGAAACCTGTTTTAATTTTTCCGGATTATTCTAAGCCATTTCATATATTTTGCGATGCCTCCCAAGTCGGACAAGGGGGTGCCCTTATGCAATGGGATGAAGAAAAGAAGGTTTATGGAGTAATTTGTTATTGTAGTCGCACTTTATCACACGCTGAAAGAAACTGGCCTCCAGTTCAAATTGAACTTGGAGCTATAATTTTTGCGCTTCGGCAGTTTAAACCGTTTATTTTCATGTCTAGTATTGAGCTTCACACTGACCATAAGCCTTTAGCATTTCTTTTAAAGAAAGCTGAGACGCACCAACATCTAGCTAGGTGGCTTGTTGAGCTGCAGAATTATAACATTAATATAGTTCATATTGCGGGTAAGCAAAATACCTTAGCAGATGCTAGAGATTATGAGTGGTTTGAAAAAGACTTAAATTTTAATAAAAATAATATAAATACTAATTTATCAAATTACAGGAAAAGACCAGCAGAACAAACCTGGAAAGAATATGCTAATACAACATTTGAGAGGAGCAGGACCAATACATGTTTGAACTGTGGGCGCCTGGACATATTGCTCGAAAGTATTATTGGAATACTTGGAGGAAGAATGAGAGTTGGAAAGGCAGAGGAGGAAAATATTAAATTTGTGTTTTTAATCAATTATATTTTTTTGTACTTTATATACCCATTCTCACTTCCTTTTAATTATTTTAAACTGAATCTTATTCATTAATATAATGTCATTTCCAAACCTATTATTTTTTTTTCTATTAACCTTTCAACCAATCCATTTATACCCAAATTCATTTTTTTTACATTATTTTTAGAATATTCCTTTTCCAATTCTCTAAAAAAAATTTTTTTTTTGCAAGTCTTACTCCACTCATTTATACTCCAATTTTGTATTTTCAAACACTTCGGTAGTTTTCTGGATTTTTTTTTCTCTCTAAATTTTATTTCAAAGTATTGATTTATGAACTTATACTCTTATTAAACGTGTTACCCACTTAATTTATTTTATACTTTTACAAAAATATTTCAATATCTCAATTTATTCTTATTTTCTATATTTTGAAATTTATATGCATTTTTAAATCATACCCACATTTTTAAAACAAAAGGAAACATACTCACCCGAAACCTTAAGAAATTTTTAAACACAACCCCAACTAGACTAAACAGACTCTGAAATCATACAATTACATTTATATCAAACCCCACTACTTAATATTGACCAAGAGAAATTTTTCATGAAACAATTGATAAGCACTAATAATGGACCAGGGTCGGTCCAAAAAAGGAAAAAGGAGAGATATGCTCGAAGAGCACACAAAGAAATGAGATAAATAAAGAAGAAAATTAAATTAGGTTCGCCTACTCACCAGAGTGCTTATCGATTGAGAAATAAAAGTGAATGGTCATTATTTAAGTAGTTTGGGAAATGATAAATTATAAAATTTTTGAAAAATTCAATTAGAGTCTGTTAAGTCTAGATTAAGACCAGGGACGGTCTTGATGGGGAAGGGACGTGTAAGGGTCAAAGGTATTCTCGGAGTTTGTTTCCTATAGTTTATAGTCATTTTATTATTATTCATTTCCCTCCCACTTTTCTCACACATTTAAAAGGATTTGTAATCACCTTACAAGGGTCTTATTGTTCTTTCACTTTAATAAATATTTTAATGGAGTTTTAATTGTTTGGATTTAATAAATATATAAATTGTGTGTTTAATTGTATGTGTCCGGTGCAGGAGATCAACCGGGGGCCTGATCAACCCTTTTGGTTCCTCTTAGAAAGTCCCGGGCATATTTCCTCCCGTATTCCATCATTCTGGGGTTTGGGCCCACCGCATTGGTTATATCTTATTCCGGGGTCCCACCTCTATTATGATTTTCGGTGTTTTTAACTTTTTTGGGTTTTTGTCTGTTAAATAAAGTACTGGAATTTTTAAAACTCGACTTATCTCATCCAATGGCCAAAGCCTGTTTCTCATCTACAAAAATCGAATGATGTATGAATGGTTCCCGGTGTTTTTAACTTTTTATGGGTTTCCGTCTCTAAAATGAAGGTTTGGGAATGTCTGGAAACTATGCCTTTTTTGCCGGATTGAGGCCAAATTTTATCTAAAAATGGTCCCATTTCTTAAAAAATTACCAATAAATTCATCATTAAATAATTCATTATAAGTTCCATAACAATCAACTTCATTTTTGTCTAATAAATTATTTTCACAAAATTTTTGAGCTCTTTCAAGAGAATTTGAAGAGGCTACAGCTTTAATCTTTAAATCAAGAAAAATTTTTCTTTTGAATTTTATAATTTATACTTTATTTGGTGTTCGGCAAAGGGTAATAGCATGAACAAAATCACTCGCAATTTTGCCAACACCTAAAAAATTTAAGGAAAAATAAATCTAAAAATTAACATATTAACAGTTAAATAAAACTAGGAATATATTTTTCATATAAATTTAAAGACTATCTTTCTAGTGATGTTCGAGACTCGGTCTCGGCTCTCGAGTCGGTAAATTTCTCGGGTTTTTTGAGCTCTCGGTCTCGACTCTCGGATTTTTTTTCACTTCCAAACATCATTATATCCTGCTAACGTCTTCATTCTCACTCACTTCATTCTGGCTATAAAATCACCTTTTTAATTATAATAACGAACTGCCCTAGGAAGTATTCCAAATTCTCCTCCAAAATACCTCTCGTTATAACCCAATTCGATCATAACGAGTCAAAATTGGAATTCGATTTGTGTTACGGTATAAATGGAGGTAGTAATTATTTTAAAATGCGCAAAGAAAATTTTTCTCAAAAAATTACCAACAACACCCCACCGAATTTCTCTTAAAATTGAATTTTCTTTTTGTTTTTCTGACATTTTTTGATAACAAAAATAATTAAATTATTTAATTGATAGATAAATCTAAATAAAATAAATAATTAAATTTTTATAAATTTATTGAAAATAATTTTTGGAACTAATACATATTAAAAGAAAGTAAAAATAATATAGTTTTTGTAATGTTTGTCTAAAAGGGTAAAGAGAATGATGACTGAATAGGTTAACTTTGTCAACGATCTTATGATAACAAAAATGCAAGGTTGTGTAAAAAGCAAAGATTATTTAAAAATAAATTATCTAAATAAATTATCTGATAAGGTACGTTGCGAAATTATAAGTCCACCCCAATTTTTTCTGTTTCTCTGGCTTTAACTTTTAAATTTTTGAATATGCCTAATAGATTCCTAATATGCCTAATAGACCCCATTGACCCCATTGTCAATAGACCCCATTGACTCACATGGATATTTTGATAGGCTTGAATCTAATATGATAAAAAAATCAGAGGGATGCTGCGGATTCTGAAGGATTAAACTTAATATCAAAGGAATTTTGCGTGGCATCGAGGGATCAAAAAGATATCGTTGAATTTGGAGGGATATTTGATTAACTCTCGAACATCACTAGTGCCTAACAATATGGAAGGGAAAATAAAAAAATAAGAAAAAGATCGTAGAGAGAAAAAATATTAGGCAAAAAAATTGAAAAAAGTGGGAAGAGTCTTTGATAAAAAGAATATACAAAAGAATTTATTTTATAAAAATAAGCTAATAATTATCCATAAAAAGTTTTAACAGAAATTTTAAAAATCAATAAAGCAGGAATCTGGTCTTAACATGTACGGTTTTTTCAAAATTCCGATCTCTAGTAAGAAGCTCGATTTGTAAGTACAATACTTTCAAGATAAGTATGAATTGGAACACTGGTTCAATAATTAAAGTTTTAGAGAAGATATAGTAAGGATTGTAAATATTAAATTAAAAAATATAAGTGATTACATCATTATTATCTTGTACTTATTTTCTTTCATATGCCCACTTCACTAACATATCTTTTTTAGATCTAAGTTCAAAAATAGGAAAAATTTAGATTTTTTTGGTTGGTTCAAAATACTTTTTTTGGCCTTTTTGGTTCAAAATACTTATTTTTCTTACAAAATCATAGGTTTTTTTAGAATAAACGGCTATTTCTATTGTTTAAACAGCAAAAAATGAATGGTTGAATTTAAAAATTAATAAAAAATTATTTAAAAATTTTGGTTCAAAAATATAATGGAAAATTGAACTAAATGGATTCTTGCTCGTTTTATGCGCTTATAAAAATGAGTAATTAATCCAGCTTAGCCAATTTATTTTGAATTTTATTTAATTTTTTTTAATATTTTTTATCAGAAAAATATAAAATTTTCTTAAAGTAAAATAATAAACTTTAAAAAGTAAAATTTAGTTTTTAAGTAAGAATTAGGGCTTATGTTAGAGAATAATTTTTGCTATGTAGCTTTGCGTGAAATTTCAAATTAATGAGAGAAACCTAAAAGTTTTCTGCTACCTACAAGCAGTTTATTTTAAATAGGGTAGCACTCCGACGATCGAGGTCGGTACTGTAAGGGATCTGAGTTAGCCGGAAAGGCATGTCGGGGTTCGTGGCTTCAATAAAAATTCGGAAAACTGAAATATGTAAAAATGTAATACGTAAAAATAAATGCTAGTTAACTGGATCTTCCTTTTTCCTTTCAATTAAAAAAATTTAACGCCAAATTTATGCTTCTTAAAAATTCAGGAACGATGTTATAAATAAAACTGACTTTTTCAAAATTATTTTATTATTAAAATATTTTTTAGTTTTAAGCATTTTTGTACTAATTAATTTTCATTTAGAATAAATAAAAATTATTTAATTCGCAAGTTTTTCTAGAAAAAAAGAATTTCTAAAAAAAATGAAGATATCTTCAATTAACATTTTAATAATTTTTATTTACTTTAATAATTTTGTATTATTTACTTCAAGTCAACAATGTAGTCAACATAAACAAGTATGCAATGATAGTGATAAAAAATGTTGCAAAGCGCTAAATTGTAAAAATGCTAGAATGCCTAATGGTCTATTTGAATATGAATGTTTTTATGGCGATTGTATTAAAGCAGGGAAGTACTGCGACGATAATGGTCAGATGTGCTGTTATGGGTTTAAATGTTATCTTAATAAATGTATAAAATGCAAACATAATGGTGCTGTTTGTATCTCGCCATTAAATTGTTGCTCAGGAAATTGTGTTGATGATGGAAACGGTGGAAAGGTATGTGCTGCGTGGAATGACCATTGACATGATTAATTTTTATAAAGGGAATATTCATCGTCTTTTTTTAAATTCTTTCCATTTTTTCTTTTACAATCAAGTTTTAATTCTTTATATACTCTGTAAATTTCTTTTAGGGTCATGAAAGAAAATTTTTTCAATTTCTTTAGACATCTTTTTATTTTTTACAATATCTATGTTTGATGGAAATTTTTGTTGATTTTTCCCAATGTTAAAAATAAAAATTGTTGACTAAAAATTGTGTTATAATCAGGACTTTAAAATTTTTTATTTAAAAAATGCCATCGAAAGGGCGCGCCAGACTTTTATTGTTTTACATATGTTGTTTTTATTCGCTGCGTTTTTCATTGTTTGTAATATATGCTGAAAAATTCAAAGAAAAACTCAAAATAATTGCGCTTCGAAAATATTTTGTCAGAATATTACCAAATTTAAATGTTTTAAATTACCTAAACTAAAATAATTTTTTCTGAAAGTTATCTTCACCAAATCCTTTTAATCTCTATTTCCCTCTTAATCATAAATCCACTAATATTAATAAAAATCCACTAATATTTCTCTTAATCCCGCATATCCCTCCTGATCCCTCCAATTTACTTCTTACGTTATTTACGTTAAATCATGTTCTTTCGTTGCGTTTTTATTTTTAACAAGAGATACCTTCGGTTCCGTATATTCGAAAATATCGCCTGGCCAAAAATCCTTTAAAAATGATTAATAGAAAAAGAATCAATTTTAGCTTAATTCTTTAAATGTTTGATTAAGTTTTTAAACGATTTTTCAAAATTAAATTTTAAATTTAACCATTTAGAAAAACGAGCTAAAAATGATTCTTCCCCGCTCTATAAGCTTTTAAAAATAATTTTTAAATTTATTCATTTTCAGTCATTTTCAGATTTTATTTAATTTTTTTAATAAATATTTTTTAATAAAAACGTTTAGCTAGATTTTCCTTCTTCCTTACAAAATTCTCAAAATAAGTTCCCAAATTTCTCCCAAATTTCACTAAATCCCCAACAGATATCAGGGATTTAATGGATAACAGAGGATATCCGACAACCCTAAATATACCCAAAAATGTATGTCTAATCCTAGTTAGAATATATCAAGGTCCTTCCCAACTTTTTTCCAGCTTTATTCAATTTTTAAAAAGGTTAACTGAGCGCTAGTATGTTTACTAAGAATCTGAAAATTATTTTCCAATTTTCCATTTTTTTCTATTTTTTACTTTCGATTTTCGAATTATTTCTTTAGATTTTTAAGTTCGGAAATTTTGAAAATTACCGATTTCCGGTTTTCGAAGATTTTTTTTGTTTCAAAACAGTTCTGGCACTTATTTATTTCTAGAATATTTCTATACAAATTAATCGGTATTTAGAACAAATAAAAAATTATTGAGATTCGTAAATCTCTTTGTAGAAAGAATTTTCTCAAAAATAATGTCTTCAATGAATATTTTTATTATTTCCATATACTTCATTTTTGTATTATTTCATGTAACAAATCAGCGATGTGCTATTCAAAATAGTCTATGCGATGATAAGGATCAAAAATGCTGTCGAGGTCTGAATTGTAAAAATACCAAAGTAGAAGATGGACAATATCAATATCAATGTTTCAAATCTGGTTGTGTACACGAGGGGAATAAATGTGATGATTATGGGTGGAAATGTTGTTATGGTTTTAAATGTGTTGATTCTAAATGTAAAAAGTGTTTAACTGTTGGTTCTACTTGTACAAAATCAACTGATTGTTGCTCTGGAATATGTGGCGGAAGTTTTTATTATTCAGGCCTTGTGTGCATTTATAATTTTTAAAATTTTATAACAAGGATTTATGTCTTTTTTAAATTTTAAAGCTTTATATTCATTTTCCTATAATTATTTTTTCATTCTATATCAGGGATGAGACCGGCTTAAAAAATTGAGTCGGGGGGTTTTTTCTTTTTCCAGTGATAAGGGGAATTTCTTTATGTATATTTTCAAATTTATTTTTAAATTCATCTATCACCTTTAGCTGAATAATTTTTTTAAAATTCACCAAAAACTAACAATAATTTTAATAAAATAAGTTTTATAATTTATTCAAAAAGCTATCAATTTAATTAAGCTAAAGAAATATTTATTTAATAGTTATTTATTTAAAAATATTTATTTAAAAATATTTTATTAATACATAACTTAAATACCTAAAATTAAAGCCTATATGTTAATCCTATTTAAATAACAAATTATAAAAAAAATATTTATTTAATAAAATAGTCGAACTCTACTATAACATTAAACACCCTCATACTTCATGTAACAAGTTAATCCAAAGGTAACCTGGCACACTATTTTTGGCATAACTTTATTCAAATTTAAGATAATGAGATCAAATAAAGATTAAATGATAGAGGATAAAACAAGGAACAAAATGGATATCCGAAATTTCAGCTTTATTTATAGAATCTAAAAAAAGAGAAGTGAATAAGGGAGTCAGACTATATTACATTTATAGATAGAATATACATATATTTACATCACAAATATCACAGCAATTCTTTATTTAACAATTCCTTTACCACCCATTTTATTATCTTTCACTGAACGCGGTCGCCGTGCAAATGATGAA